TCGCGATTGAAACGCGTCTCGGCAGATGGACTCGAATAGCGATAGCGAACTATTGTATACCGATTAGAGATTAGCGCGCGAACGCGTTCCTTCGATTGACCGCGCGATCGATCGGTTGGACAATGATTACGAGCGAACAACTTCGAGCCGCTTGGTATAAAATAATTCAGCGCTTAAAAAGCCGAAAGAGAGGAACACGATAATTATATCTCCGTAAATATCCTATAATATATCCAAAACAAAAAAAAAAGATAACCAAAGCATTGTAACCTTCTAGAGGCAAAGAAGAAATAGCGAAGTACCTAATCTTGTATGATTTAGTTCGACCACTGATTTGTCCGTGTGTGTTCGTTACTGAAATATATGTTTCTTTAGTAAAAAAATTTTGGAAAACTTACACTCATGCGTGTTCGTGATTCTCCTCTACTCAGTGTCCCTCATCCTTTTCTCTTATTATACGTATATGCGAACTTACCTAAAAGCGAATAATAAGTTGCAAATTTATTACTTATATCTATATTGAATTCAATTTTTAATAAGGGAAAAAATGTTAGCAAGAAAAATTTTACACAACTATAATAAGATTCTATATTAATTTTATAAATTTTTTTATATAAATATTTAACTTTTTATATATTAAATATCAGATATTAAATATCACACCTAAAAAAATTTATCAAATAAAAGTCAAAATTGTCGAGTAAAATAGTTTGTTTTATTTATAAAATTAAAATTTAGATACGTTTTGATAAAAATTCTAAATGATATATTTCTCGAGGTTTATATTAACTTTACGAAAATATTACGCAACAACATTAGTGCCAATATGTAAATAAATTGCCCAATTTGGTAAAAACAGACCAATTAACTCACTTACCTTGTTACTGTTGCTGTTGCTCCTGCTACTGCTGCTACTGATACTACTGCTCCTGGTGCTGCTACTGCTACTGGCACTACTGTTGATGCTGCTGCTGCAACTGCTGTCGCTGTAGTAGTATACTCCTTTTCTTGTCAATTCTGAAAATATAATTATTCATTATTTATTGAGTCACTAATTTAAAAATATGTGCAACTGATGAAATATTTTTATATAAATTTTTTTATTCTGTTATATATTATTATCTCTTATACTATTATATAGTATTATAATTATTATATATATTCTAATAATTTTTTTTACGCAATGAAAACACATAAAAAACAATATTTTAACTATTTCTTGTGTCTAAATCTTATCAAAGAAATATTCGTTGGTATCTATGCATAGTTCGCACTTAAAAAATGATGCAGCAAGCGAAAAATGATAAAGCGACGCGCAGCAAGCCAGAGCATGACGTCACATGACGTCACGCACGTAGCCAGACAGAGACAAGAGCTTTGAATTAACGCATGCGTAGTTACAATTAATAGAGGCAAAATAGTTTTTTCTTCGATCAAGAATTTCTAATATGAGTTAATCGCACGACGATTAGCCATGTCTTATTCGACATTTTCGACATTATTCTATCGTACGGATAACGTTTTATTCGAGCAAATTCGCGCGCGAGAACTTGAGACGCGTGCCCGACGCCGCACTTTACAAACGAGCGCGATCATTTCTACACACGACACAGCGTACGTACAACATGACTTACCTATCAAGACGATCGTCCGCTTCCACGTTTGACCACTCTCGACAGTCTCGACGTCGAATATCAGGGCACAATTCGAGCAAATTCGCTCGCGATAATTTGCCGCGGAGCGACGCGACGCGTACCCGACGCCGCACTTTACAAACGAGCGCGATCATTTCTGCACGCGACACAACGTACATACGACACGATTTACACATCGAGACGATCGTCCGCTTCCACGTTCGGCCACTCTCGACAGTCTCGACGTCGCATATCAGTGCACAATTCGAGCAAATTCGCGCGCGATAATTTGCCGCGGAGCGACGCGACGCGTACCCGACGCCGCACTTTACAAACGAGCGCGATCATTTCTGCACGCGACACAACGTACATACGGCACGATTTACACATCGAGACGATCGTCCGCGTTCACGTTTCGTACTCTCGACGTCGAATCTGTGCGTATTTCGGACACGGAACACGCGAGAAGCACGGAGCCGTCCGCGCGATCAGAGCCAAGGCAGGAATCAACATGGCGGCCATTGCGCATGGCGCGCCAAAGGGTAGTGAGAGTGGGGAGCGGCGAGCCGGCGACGGCGCCGGCCGCGCCTGCGCATAGCGCCACGCAGTGGCGTGATGCGCGACTCGTAAGCCGTTTGAATTGGCGGTTGGCGTCGGTAACGTAGGACGGGAGACGAATTAATGGTTCGAATTTTCGTTCGAGTATTTCGTACCTAACATCGAGTTAAATGATGCCGCTCGATGATTCGCCGTGTTTCGTTCAATGTTCTCGGCATTATTCTATCGCACGGACGATGCATCCTCTTCGAGCAAATTCACGCGCGAGAACTGATAATTTCGGAGAGAGACACGCTACGAGTACGCGACGCCTGCACATTTTACGGACGAACGCGATCATTACCGTGTACGGCACAACTTTTACCTATCAAGACGATCGTTTACTACCTATACTCGGGCACTCTCAACGTCGTATCTGTGCGCAATTCGAACTCGGAGACACGAGAGAAGCACGGAGACAGGAAATATAGCGGGCGAGAAGCGGAAGTGGATCTGCGAGCTGGCGCGTGACGTCAGTGTGACGTCGCGAGAGCGCGGCGCGGCGTTTGAGTTAATTCTCGCGGAAATACAGTGATGTAAAATGAGTAGTTTTATGATTATCACGAGCAATTTTAATAATCCTTTGATCCGAATACACGTTATATCACGCTATGAAATTATCATTAATTTAAATAAATTTAATTTGTTTACAATTATAGAGGTATATATCAAACTACAATCTACATATTCTAATCTATATAAATCTTACTCTCTTTAAGCAATAAAATTTATTTTGTGCTCTTGGAAAAATACAGCTTGTAAATTAATATATTGTTATTATTTTACGTTGAACTTTTACGTTCTAAGAAAAATAAAATTATGCAATTTTGAATTTAAAAGTATTTTGAAAAATAGCATTTACTCTAATTGTGTAATGGTTATATTTTATTTTATTTTGAGGACAATTCCACAAATAAATATGCGTTTGAGAAATTACAACAAAAATAGACTGCTCCGTTATATAATAAATCTTAAAAATACAATTAGTTCTACTTATCAAATTATTATTTCCATATCAAAATAATTATATAATTTTAGAGTTGACATTTAGAAAATCCTTTTCGTGTACAATTTAATTAGAAAGTAATAATACAAATTTACTGCATTCATAATTGTATTATGGAATTTATATACATTTGAAATTGGCAATGTGCTTTTTGGTCAGCACAACTGGAAATTGATTTTCTTTTAAGACATTTTGCGTCTAATTGATACTACCAACAAATTATATTGTTAAAGAATAAAGACGATCGGTTAAAGGCAAATTTTGACTCTCAAGTGGGCCTGGGAGTAATTGAAGAACGATGATATTTACCGTTCTGGCTGAGGATAGCAAATAACAATTTCGAGAAATACATAATATACCCTTGCAATTGTTACTTCACATTTTAACGCAAGTTAAATGTGTAAGATGAAATTATACATAAATTTACACGACATTAATTAACAAACAATATTTAAAATCATCTTTCTGTGCATTCTGGAATAATTGCTCGTTCGATGGAATAATTCCATCGTCGAGAAGTTAAGGAAATGTGATCGCTATAGTATTAAAAAACAGTTCGTCTCATCGTAATAGATTTACGATGAAGAATTCCTAGGCAGGAGCATAGGCATCGAAGGTAAATAAACATGTTTTTTTGCGCGAGTGACCGGCGTACGCTGCTCGTGGGTGAGGAGGGGGGGTAGGGGTAGCCGCGCGGCGCGCTCGGTGATGACTCGGCGACCCGGCGCCGCTTGCTTCAGTTGGTTCGCTGACGGCCTTCGCATCGGGTGTGCTGGCGCGTTGCTCGGCGCGCGTTCTTTCCTTCCCTCACACGCGGCTAATCCCTCGATTCTACGAGGAATTTTAGAGCGATCTCTCTGTTGAAAGTGTGCCGCCTGTGTTCCTGTAGACGGACACTCCTGCGTGGACGGAAAGGAAGCAAGACATTTCCCATTTCATACGCGGTCATATACGTGCAAGATCGTCGCGGCAACCGCCGTGTTGGCGCGTCGTGTGGTGCGGTGGTGATTTTTTTCGTGGACAGCAAATCGAACGCACGCCGGGAAGTGATCCCTCGTCTCCGAGAGCTCGTCGTCGAGAGCAACAAGTGAGCGCATCGCCCGGCGCCACCATCGAACTTTCGGTATCGCGTGCGCGGAACGGAGTCGCGAGTTCGAAACGTGGAAAGTGATACGCGCTTTCGTGGTCCGAGCTTTTGCTCTCGCGGAAGCGTTCGCGTCGTAATTTTTCGCCGTTCGTGAAAAAACGCGAAATATCGTGCGAGAAGTTTCGCGAGTGCGTACGACATCGAGAATCAATCGTGATGTCGAACCTCGTGGACCTGGTGTGAGTACAACAAGTCCAATTGACGAAGCGAAAACGGAGGCACCGGCGCGCGTGGCGTCGCTCTGAATTAAGTTGTTTGCAAGAAACGTTCGGAATGAACGCGGCGATCGCTCCGGAAATCTCGTCGCGTGGAGAAATTGGAAGTACGAGTCGATGCATGCTGATGTGACCGTGGGCGTCCTCATCGAAATTCGTGGTAAATCGTCGACGAATAATTAGCGCCGAAAACGGAGCGATCGCGCGAGGAGGTGTGCGACGAGTCGCTGCAGATTTCCGCTCGTGATCTATCACCGGGCGATCAGCATGGTGTGCGACGCGAATCGATGAGCGACGAGAGAGCCGGTGCGAAGTGAGACGACAACGCGAGCGCTCCCGAAAGCTCCCCTTTTCGCCGCCCCGACGATTCACGGACTATGTGAGTGTGCCCCTGTCAATGATCGCCTTTCTTCGGTATCAAGGAATTGCGGGAATCCTCGTGGACCATGGCCACCGCCACGAAGAAGGGACACGCGGGCAACGTGACGTTACGACGGCTCCTCATTGTCGCCCTCTCATTGATGCTGAGCGACCTCCTGACCGCCGTCCAAGCAGCGCGCGGATTTAGGCACAACCTGAAGCAAGGTGAGTACCTGCTATTTGCCTGTCTATTGCCTCTAGGTATAATCGAAGACGAGATCTGGTTCAGTGTTTTTAAATCACAATATTCGACGTTGTACAAGTTTATTGAATAGGAATGGATAATTCTTGTAATTCAAGTTTTTTTAATTATAATGGTTTTTTAAATTTTATAAAATATACAAATTTTTTAACAGTTGACTTTTCTTAATATAAATTGTGAAACGCTAATTTCTCGAATGAATTTTAATTTTTGAGAACATTGAAAAAACTTTGATTAATTGTATTTTTAAAATTGTTAAAATCTTAGCATTTTAATTTACTTTATTGTATTACAAATGAAGAATTTTTTTTACAGAAATAATTTTAAAAACTGATCCAAATCAGTCTTAGCAATGAATACTATACTAAAAGGAAATAATAGTCTTCATTTAAATATGTGTGAAAGTGATGAAATTTTATTGATGTGACAATCAGATATAATAAGCAAATTATTGAGCTTTTAAAAATAATATTTATATTCTTAGTTACAATATATTTTATCGAATATTTGTGTGTCGTGATATTTATTTTATTCGAAATAGGTTTTTTTATTTACATAACGTATTGATATATGAAAAATTGAGATATTTTAAATATTGCAAATCAGTACAAAATATTTTATCTTTTTAAAAACAGACATATTTCTTTTTGTTGTCTGACGCGATTTATGTATTTATTCTGTTTTCTTTTATTCAACTAATTCTCAAACTTTTATGACGTATACTTCGCACGATGCGATTTTTATTTCCCTTTGTATGGCTTTTAAATGCAGATTACGATATCATTGTTGATGCGGCCATTGATATTATGGCGCTCGGATTTGCATAAGATGTAAATATTTCGCAGACGCGTGAAATGCAACCATTTATTTGAGTAACGTATTGAATGTTATTCAAATCGGCGTAACAAAACGTCTTATGCTTATCGCGATTGAATTTTACTGAGAACAAACCGTCTGTTTTCAAGGGAATCGATTTGTTTTACGTACTGTCATATCAACGCACATTTAAGTACATACCAGATTTATGTACATGATTTTTAATTTATGTCAATAGAATTTTTTCGATCGTACACAAATCATAATCAAATATTACTCGTAAATAATTATTCGAAGTCTTTAGCTTCAAACGCGAGTGTTCCAGAAACAATTCATGCAGACGATCCAATAATAAAAGCTTACATGTTTCGTTAATAAATACGTAAATAATTATTTTCAACTTTGATAATATTATAACAACATAATCGTTTGATAGCATAACCGTTATATTTTAACCATTGAATGTCCAATCGTCATCAGTATCTCACAAAATATTTCCCAGCGTCTCCGTCTGGTACGAAAATTAATTAACCGAATTGCATTCTTTGAGACTACTCACACGATCCGCGAGCATAACGACGCCCACGCGACATTGCGCCCCATGTCTTCCCGACGATATTTTTCCGAGATTAAATTCTTCGCGCTGCGTGGCGCCTGTCGTGTTTTTCTCTCGGATAACATGTAATCTCACTCCTTAAATTTCGGCTGGGTTTCCGGCATGACACGCGGCAAAAAACTACGTCGTCGTCGTCGTCGTCGTCCTCGTGTCACGGACGTGGTGCGCGTGCGGTCTTTTAAAATATTGTCGAAAATTCCGACCGAATCCCGCGCGACCTCGTAAAACGCGCGTCTGCCCCGGGAATATTAAGCATCAGGACATTCCGCAGTCTCCTTTTCCTCCTCTTTGGGAGAGCTCTGTGCTTTATATTTAGCGACACGACGACGGCGACCGCCTCGAATCTCTCACCGTAGGGCGCATCGCGAGTGCGAACGCATCCCTTTTACTCCTCGTTACTCCAGGCCGATCAAAGGCCTGTCTCTCTTGGGGATATCGATTCCCTCATATCGGCTATATCGCGTGGAACGTGCGCACTCGAACGATAAGTAACAAAAATTGCCGAGAGACAGGAGAAACGCGTGGAGAGAGAGAAAGCGCGAAGAGGGTAAAGCGTTTCCGGCCAGTGTAATTTAATGTAATTTATGAGCGGCTGTTGACTTTTCCGCGGAAGGTTTATTTGTAGACGCACATAAATAAGGAAACTATGTCGGTATACATATGTATATACCGATTAATTAGCATCTGTTTGAAAACATTAATTAACTGCAATTTAAGATTTTTTGAATAAAATGTAATCTCTATTATTATTGAAAATGGTTTTTTCGTATACGGTATTTTACTAGTTAAAGAGTTTTTTTAAAATTATAAAATATTCTCGATCGCTCTTTGAAAATGATTCGAATAATCATTTGAAAAAGTTAAAATTATATTATTACAGCAATCAAAATTTTTTCTACATTCCGAGATTATAAAATTTATTTCTGCATATTAAGCATATTGCCATATTTTTCAAGATAATTGAAAAATCTATATGCTAAGAGTATCATTTACCTACACATGGCTTTTTATATTTTCATCGCGATCGTATCATTAACATGAAAAGGTAAAAGAAGTATCCGAGATTCCTCGATGGGACGAATATATCACGCCGTTTTAGATCGTCGTGTTTCGATGATGTTCTCTCGAAATGCTTCGACCGTCCAATAGCTCGTTTATGAGGTAATTAACAGGCGGTTAACAGCCACAGTTCGGCCACCGAGAATAATTAACTTCGGCGGATGCTTTCGTCTTTTGTGTCGTTAACATTCTCGCTCTTCGTCTCTCTGTCGCTCGCATCCTCGGCTCCTCTTTTTTTTCCCTCGTTCCGATTTTAAGCCTCTTAGATGCTTCTCTTTCAGGGAGGCAGAGCCGCGCGAGAAATACATTTTTAATGACGCTTACACGATGACGGTGCGGCTCTCTCGCATCGATAAATAAAAATAACGCGTGATAATTAACGTTTGCCGTCGGCTGCCTCTTGGGACGCGAGATCGATCGATCGATCGCACACGTAGCCGTGCGGAGTCGCGCCGCGCCTCCCGATCGGATCTTCAAGATATCGAGATCAAGCGGTGCGCCAGCCCGCTCGTGTATCGCTTCCTGTTTCTGCAATCCAGCCGGATCGACTCGCGCACCGAGTGGCAAACGCGAAATTCCACTCCGGAATATTGCGAAATGTATTCCTCTGTCCTGCCACGCACGTGGCATACAATGTACGGCATATCGTGTTTGCCATCGCGTTGGGGCTTGCTTTACACTCATGTTTACTCGACTGGCTGAATGGTTAAACTCGTTTATGTAGATTTTTATACAATTCTATGAGGATAAAAAATAAAGTAAAATGAAGTTTACATAAAGGTGTGTTTTCTAATAAAGTCGGCTGGAAAGATGTGACGTGACAGATAAATTAAAAGAATATCTTCATTATTTTTTCAACTTTTTAAATATTCAATATTATTTAATTCAAATCTTGTTAGAATAATTGAAAGTCTTATAAATAATATATTATAGAATAAATTCATAATTATTGAGATGCGTGAGATCCGTGTTTGTATAATATAATCATTATCTACATCAATGATAGTTATATACAATTTCTGATTATCTATCGTATAGAACTGATAATAGATATTATCTGTCATGAAGATGTAATTTTTATCATAGAAATTAATGCTCACTATATGTGTTTCCTTACGAGTCTCATTGCCTGTTTCTACGGTGCAACTTGTGGATAATGATTAAAGCACCTAAAGCGATATTGTGTATGCAATCGTTATGAAATGCACTTCTATACCTACATTGATCTTGTTCGCGTGTTTAGATTATTTGGAAAATTTTATAATTTTGTAGTTGCACAACTTCAAATATTTTTGTTCGATAAGCTCTTATATGTATTTTTATATGTTTTGGCATTATTTTATATATTTTTTTTTATTTGCTAACCTTTTTAATATTTATTTAATACTTCTGCTAAGTATAAAACTTCTTATATAATTTTATTCTATAAACTTTTTTAATAATTCTATTTATTTTGTAGATTATGAGAAAAAGATTGATATCTAATATTTCCCATATTCGCTCTATAATTATCGGGAACGGTACTTTGTTCAACCCATCAGATTAATTCTCTCGCGTTATATATTACGCCCTTCAAAATTATTATCTGATAAACGGCGTTCGATTGCATTTAACATTCTGACGCCGTCGATGTTGATGACTCGGATAATGCAATTTCTTCTCGCGCAATTTTCGGGTAATGTCAAGCCACGCGAGAGAAACGATAATGAAGCGACTGGCTGAATCGAATAAAGATAAAGGGATAAAGACGCTGTTGCGGTACCCTCGAGTTGTCGAGGCGTGGAAGGCGGTACCTCAGACTCTATCTAAACGGGCGAGGATTCGCCCGAGGGGGGATCATTAATTTAATTAGTTTCGGAGAAAGAGCGGATTTAATCGTTCGCTCCGATGGATCGACGTGAATGCTCGTTGTTCGGGCTTGGAGAAGCGGCGGGCGTTTCTGCCTTAACATCCGTTGCGTTTGATCAGCAGTTATCTTAAAGAGCAGTTAACGGAGAAGTTTAAAGAGAAATCAATGAAATCAATTTATCAGAAATTTGTCTCGATAGATCGTTTCTTCAGGACAGTCGGCACGCTTTCTGATTATTTCAATAATAATCCGTATAATTGTAAGAAATATACATAATGTATAGTGTGTGTGCCTAAAGTTCTATATAATATTCATCTTGATTTATTCGTTAAACTTCATATATTAATTATAAAATATTGTAATTAATTTATTTATTTTGATTCAAGTAACAAATGCGATGTTTTATGCTGTGACTAAAATTTCAAGCGTAGCTTATAGCCCTTCGTTTTTTTCTAACCGCACTCGGTGTCGTTCTCGAGGATTGGCTTGCAACAACGAGCGTCAATCACTTTGAAATACGTCAGTAACGACATAAACGATTCGCGGTCGACGTTACGTAGCGCACCTGGCGCTTTTCGAAGCCGACGCGATGCCCGCTCGAAATCTCTGCGCCGTTCTCGAAA